TGTCGGTACTTAGGTCCGTCACATCATCATATGTACTGCGCGATTAAAAAGAGAAACTAGAAAGCGTTTAAAAAGTACACAGCAAAGCGACAGGTCAGCGAGCCCGTCGCCTTTTCGTGTTTGGAATATTTAATGACAAGTCCAAACAGAGTTATGTCTTTGGCGATGCCGGAAAATGTTCTAGGCTCAAATCAAAATCAACCAATTTGAGACTGAGATATTTATAATCAAACGAGCAGTTTTTTCGCTGCAGTTCTCTCAATAAATTAGAAAGCAAATACCTATTTTTATAACATTTTAATATTTAATGCTGTCTCCAAAGTACATTTGAACCATGGATCGTTTCATCATTAATTAATTCACCCCAAAATTAAGGGGCGTTTTTTCCCCGACTTTTGAACACCGTAGGAACTTAATCACGTTGAATATTTCGAACGCGCAGCTTTTTAATCGTTGCAATAGAAGAAATGCTGGTTTCAGTGAAGGAAACAAACAAACAATAAAATAACTACCTACCAAGGATACACTGAAATGCGATTGATCCGATAGTCCTCACAGGGGATATATGATCCTTTGTAACTGATAACTTAAGACGCTCTTTGGGTGTCTGCGTAGGACGCTAAAGCTCTTGAAGCTCGGTGAACAGTAAAACGACGGCTTACTGAGTAATACTGAGCTGCTTACTGACTGAATGATGTGCTCACTTCGTCTGGTAGCAAGAAGATTTCTATAAATGTGAAGTAAGTCGGAGGTTTCAGTAAATAGATTTTAAACTTGCAAGTCAGCCAGTTCTCTTGGAGTTAGAATAGGTAGCAAGTAAAGCTCACTCGACGTATAATGATTTAGTATTTCATGTGCCGCTTGTAGATGGAAGAAGTAGCTAGGCGCTGGTAGGAAGAGTCGAGAAGAGTACTCGAATGCGCCATAGACTAACTCGCCATGGACCCGAATGATGAATTCATGCCGTCCTTTTGTGTGGAGGGTCGAAAAAAGCCACTTGAACGATCCGAGTTCTCACTTGAATACACAACCCTTGGACCGAGAACTGAAACAAAAGCAAAATACAGTAAGCAAAACCGGAATAAGATAGGTCATCTTTCAGTTTTCTTTTACAATTCGACTCACGGTCTGTTGTCCGTTAATATTGAGTTTATTTGCTCATTTATCGGATTAAAAGTACTTATTCATTTTCTATTTTGAAGAGTCTTATTCATTCACAATTTTTATACCAACCTTTCTATCTTTCATTTATATGTTATAGTCCACAGTGAATTGACTTGGATTTTCCGTAATTAAACAGCGGAGTACACAAACAACAGTAACATGTAACATGCAGGTACGTAGTTTCAACCTTACAACATCATGCAGTTTTTGCGTCCGGCATTCCTGAAAAAAGTCAGTTACTATCATGGAGTGAGACATCGTGAGTATTGAGTAAAATTTACCTGAAACATGTAACACTGTAATTTTGAATAAACAGGAAATCGATAGAAATATGATGATAGCCAAGCAGGCAAATAAATTTAACATCAATAAATTCTAACGATAAAATTACAATAAATTTAAACAATGAATTTTCTATTTTCCTAATAAGGCTTTTTAAATGAGACAAGGACAGGAACGTGCAAGAGCAAAAAAACGACAAGAGCACAGAGGACGAGCAGAATACCGTCTCATAAAAATCACTTTGTACAGTTATTATTATTATGTGTATTTCTTAAATAACTTTAGCGTTGAAACGGTCAAGGGATGGCGTGACAATTACTTGAGTTGAGATGACATAAAGACAAAGAACTTATGGATTTTAAATCGGCAAATCTGGCTTGCGTTTCATTCACTTAAATAACCTCGGAGTTAAGTCTTGAAGAAATCATCCGAATTTTGAACGCTTTTTCTGTTTTTGTTTTACGATCCTGTTGATATTTATTTTGTAAATTGTTATATCCACTGGACATAATCATAATGAATTTACTCTGGCTCTGCTGAAGTTTGAGGGTTTCCCCTTGCTTCAACATACAACATCAACCATCAAAGAAGGCAGTATACAATTCTTGATTGAGCTGACTGGGCAATGCTCGTGCATGCCACACCTGGGTTCCTTTTGCAACCTTAAGTTGGGTTTCTCAAATAACTAATCATGTTCATCTTGAAGGAAGCTGTTTATACCCCAGTACTCGATGCACTTGATGTATTTCTTACTTTAAAGAAAACGAATAACTGTGATGGATTTTAGTTTTCTTCTGGCCTCTGTAATTGCCTTTAATTATCGGAAATACGTAATTAAGGTAGTCAGCCTCTCCTTCAATGATAATGTAAATTCTGGAAGATTTTACTCTTAAAAACAATTTCTTGTAACTTGAACAAGACATGCCACAATGTTTAAAACAGCACGCAACGGACTTTTTTAATCTCTTTGCTCCCTGTGATGGAGTTTCTTGGAGTTTCTATGTCCATGCTTTGCAGAAGCCACTCTGAACAGAAAACAGTGGTAGATATTGGAGTGCAGGCACATGTTTGAGCGGTTGTAAAAGAGTAATTTTGTTGTTTGCATAAAGTTTTGATTCAAATCAGTCAAACGGAAAATTTTGCTCCATTCGCACCAGGAAATTTCTGGAAATTCACACTGCAATTATTGGCCGCATTAACCTAATTACTAGCAATCACTGGTGCTACCTTAGCCTTGCACAAAATGGTTGAGCCCTTATTAAATTCTCAAACGCGATTTTACTGACGTGTGCGGAATTAATAATTTTAATTAGTGAGGCGAAGTTGAATAAATAAAAAACAAAGCTGCAAAAGCAATCTCTGACGACGTACTCCGTCGAGAGATACAGTGAGCAACAAAAGGCTAGATGAACAAAGGTGAGATCTATGCAAATGTTCCTCGTTTTTCAAATCGAACCAACTCTGTCAAAGTTAAGTAGCTAAGACATTTTTAATGTATGCTAAAAATCAGTGCAAGTTTTGGTTTACACACAAAAAAAATTATTGCTTGTGATCTTATAACCATTATTTTCAGGTGAAAGAACAAGGTAACGGGACAAGACTAGGACAGCGAAAGAAAGAAAAGAAAAGAAAATAATGAAAGGAGTACAAGGTGGAAAATGAAGAGTGAGAAAATAGTAACAACGAATGATGACAAACTCATTTTTCAGATATTTTAATCACCCAGTCACTTAATACACTTTCCTATTCAAACACTTGTTTACGTTGACCAGCAGGTAAACGAGGAAACTACGGAGAGTTCTTAAAACTTTACTGGTCTGATTTTCATCTCAGCTCTCTTGACGGAGTAGTGATGACCTTTCCAGTGATACCAGTTGACACCATCAGCGTTTGATGAGTATTTCCCGTGATGATACAGACCGTTGAGGTTGGAGTAATGACAGGCAGTGTACCACCAGGCTCCTTTATTGACCACAGCACAGTTACTGCTCCAGCTGTCATTATCCTGATCTTTGGTGCTAAAGGGGGAACCACGATGCCCAGAAAGAGAATCACCAGCAGTTCCTGAAAACAAAACACGAACTTTTAATAACATAATTACGAATAAAAATAACACGAATAACAGACGAAAACTTACCTGAGTAAGTTCCAAGACTCAGCTGGTACTTAGTCCTCTCGCTCGTAACT